TTTTGAAAAAATTAACGAAAAAAAACTGATATCTAGGACCAAGACGATGACGATGGATTTTCGAATGAAAATGTTAGTTGAAACGATGATAATGATACCGTATATTCAAATAAAATGTCTAAATAAGTGTTTAAATAACATTTCTTAAATTTATCGCTGGAATGATTGACATCTAAAGAAAAGATTATTTTTTGCTCCATCCCACCGCTAAAACTGGCTCGTAGCTCTACGGCCTGACCTGTCAGTGCTTGTAGCGCAACCAAGCGGCCAACCCCAAAACTAATTTTCGCAGCCACCGTAGAGCTATGAATCTCGTGTAAATGGATGTCTCACCAACTTTGCCTGATTTTTCATAGTTTTAATACTAACTTTAAAATAAGACAATGCCGATTGGACACCTTAATTACATTTATTCTTCAATCACATCGATAAAAATTAAAAAAAAAACAGTATTTGCGCTTAATAAAAATCTGAAAAAGAACTTCAGTGATAGATATAGTAAAACTAGAATTGAAATGTCGTTTCTGCGCTTACTAAGACGTAATTTTTATTTGATCACACGGTGTAACAAACAAACTGTAAAATTTGAGCGTATTCCAAGCAATACTTTTTTCTGACTATAACGTGTATAATATATGCCATTCGTTTTTTCATGCTTGTATTTTAGTATTATTATAATTTAATTTTTTCCTTTCCTAATAGTATTCAATAGTAGTAGTTAAGATTATTTCATTTCCTATCTCGCCTGTTTAAATAGTTATTAAGTTTAGAATCTGTTCAGAATAACTGGTATTAGTTCGAAATGAATTTATCCTGAATAGGTATCTAAAAGTCGCGTTATTGTCATTTGAATATTTATATAAGTATATCGGACAATCAAGACATTTTTCGTAAAATATTTTATTTTTAGTTTCTTTGAAACACGTCGTAGAGTAGTTTATTATTATTATTAAGGACTAATAAGGCATATACAGGGTCGCTTTTATGTATGGAAACGGTCGATTATTAGGTAAAATATAGGAGGTAACGCAAACAGTTAAATACAAAGGATTTTTAAATATCTATTAGCGAGTAATAAATTTAAGTATACAGGGTCTTTCATAAAGTCGTGACACATCAAAGTTTTATTTTTTTAAATAGTATATGTAATACCCTGTATATTATTACATCACTTTGAGGTACATTGTGTGTATTTCGATTTTTGCTTAGAATTGAAGGAAGAACCGAAATATGCAATAATATACAGGGGGTTCCATTTAAAAAAAAATAAACTTTGATGTGCCTCGACTTTATGACCGACCCTGTATACTTAAATGTATTACCCGCTAATAGATATTTATAAACCCTATAACTTTTATATTTAACTTTTTGCGGTATCTCGTATATTTTACCTAATAATCGACCGTTCCATACATAAAAGCGACCCTGTATAATTAAAATTTCTAAAGTATGTTTTAAGTCGTCGAACGACATCCGCACACAAAAATATATGATTTTATATTCTATGCATTTAAAATTTAGTACTATAATATCATCAATTTTTTAACATCGTGTTTAATGGTCACAAAAATTCCAAGTTCATTATTAGAAAATTCATTAAAACAACCATAAAATGTCACCTTTCTGATATTTTATATTATTCCCTCTCAGCTCGTGGGTTATAAAATATACAAAACAGTAATTTATTTGACATTACAAACCAATTTTTCTTTGAATATCTATATACCTATAATAATTTTTGGTAAAATTTCAACGACTTAAAACCGTCTTTAATCATCTTAAAAACCTTTACTAAACAAATATTCCTTGTTATTCCTCATCCTCCTATTACCAATATTTTTTTGTAATAAATATATTTAGAAGAACCACTTGCGATTGTAATCTTGTTGAACCTGTTTGAAAAGCATATTATAAATATTTTCAGTTATATAAAAAATGAATCGATGTAACCTGTGTAAATACCTATGTATAGTTATTTATAACTATTTAACTAATGAAAATTATATATTTTACTTCCCCCGAACTCGTAAAGTAGGAAAAAATCAACCTTGTACTGCCCCCGCTTTATTTTTCATACAGCTATAATGGTTTTTATTTAAATGTAATATGTTTATGTTAGGTTAGGTTACTGAACGCATATTTACTTAGTTCCTGGTTATACATATACATATCTAATGATACTGCAATAACAAATACATCCATAACGTTTTCTTCAGTTTCTTTTATATACTTTGACAGTTTTTTCGAAGTGAAAAAAAGTAATGTAGATAGTATTCTTGTTACGAATTTAAAAATGTAGTTTCAACACTTCTATGAAGTGCGTGTCCTTTTACAAAGATAAAAACGAAAATTTAACTGATTTTGAAACCAATCATTATAACAAAAATGGAAAAATTTAAGACTCAAAGAAGTATTTTATATTTTTATAATTTTCAAATCAATTTCTTACATTATTTGAACTAAACTATCGATTGTTGTTATTATTAGGAATAAAATAAACAAACAATCTTTTCTTTATTAAAATTATACTGATTGGTTTTGAAAAGTTACGAGAATATGTAGAGAAAAAAAAAGAAACTAAGACATAAAAATAGATATACGTATTTTTATAGTAATCTTACTATGTTAGTTTTTAGGTTTTCTATCATTTTTTATAATTATTTTTAATTATTATTAGACTTTTGATTATCAATTATGAGTATAATTTTAGTGTTAATATTTTTTAATGTTTTTATAATTATTCTTTAGATGTTTTTAACCAGTAATGTTAGTTTTATTTTATATAAATAACGAAAATAAATATATAGGCTAATCCTGGTTATTAGGACGGTTTGCTTTAGTTCTAACTATTTTATATCATTTCAGTTAATATAAGCTTTTTCCTCAATACTGACGTAAATCTTAAAATAATATGTAAATATACAAACTGAATAAAGAAAAAATAGTTAATGCTAATAGCAAGCATCCCAGTATAAGTTATAGTGGAAATGCTATTATAATAATTGCTCTCAGAAAAATATTATCAATAAATTTACAAGAATAAAAACGTTTTTTATTGTCCTTTTTTATAAATATAGCTAGCGTGTACCCGCGACTTCGTTCGCATCAAATTAATCATTTTTGTAATGGTGATGATAAAGCAAAGCAAGAATTTCCATTAACATACAAACTGGATACTCACTTTTATGTCAGCATGAGAAAAAATTCGACTTTCAAAAAATCCGTTTGCCAAAAATAAGCTTTTTACGTCAAGCAGTTTAAGCAGAATCGTGGTTAATCAATTACCCAACTTTTTGGAACACCCTCTATGATTTTTTAAAAAATTCCAAAATATGTAAAAAACAAAATAATTTATGCGTGTCCAAGCATTTTTCCGAAAGACTAACCGTTTTTTAAATAACAAATATTGTACTATTTGAGGGGCGTTTTCACCGTGGAATTTGAGATTCGAGAAACCCCTCCTTATCGAACCTCTACACCCCACAGTCAACCCGTTTGCCAAAAATCAGCTTTAAACGTCAAGCAGTTTAAGCAGAATCGTGATTACTCAATGGTCATATTTTATTAAACACCCTGTATAAATTTTTAAAAAATCTTAAAATATATAAAACAACAAAATAAAATATACGTGTTTAAGAGATTTTCCGAAAAACTCACCGGTTTTTAAATAAAAAATATTCTAATATTTGAGGGGTGGTTTCGCCCCCTTAGAATTCGAGTTTCGAAAAATCCCTTCTTTTCGAACCTCTACACCCTAAAGTCAGTCCGTTTTCCAAAAATCAGCTTCTTACGTCAAGCGCTTTAAGCAGATCGTGATTAATCAATGACCAGATTTTTCGAAACACCCTGTATACATTTTTAAAAAATCTTAAAATATGTAAAAAACAAAATAAAATATACGTGTTTAAGCGATTTTTCAGGCTAACTATATAGTCAACATATTTATTTATTATGTCAATGATGACAGGTGTTGATAATTTCGATTCCAAATATCTCGAGAACCATTACTCGTAGCGATTTTTACCAAGAGATCTTTTTTACGTAAAAAACGTCGTAAATGTATATTTTTTTCTCAGTAGTTTTATACAGGTCCGGACGAAAAGTTATTACTCTTCAAACCAGTTAAAAAATATACAGGTGACGCCCTCTACAAGTAGGAGTCATATTGACATTAAAATCGAATTTCTCATGCCAAAAAACTTCCAGACACCAATTCTCATCCAAATATGACGTTACTTTAGAAATTATTTGGAAAAAATCGAAATAAAAATGAAACTTCTACACTCTATATCTCCGAAACTAAGCATTTTAGGACATACATTTATACGAACTTTTTTACTTATTTTTATCTGCAGAATATGGTGCCGAAATTTTTGGAATACAGTTCGGACCATTCTGTATAATTAACGCAATTTTGTTAATTAATTTCGTACACCTTATTTAACATTTATTAGCAATACCTATGCCGTTCATTGATTCTCTATAATTATATAAAAGGTACAAACAAGAGTAATTAGAAAAGCGTGTTAGATTTAAGTCATTTTAGTTATATTAAGTATTTCGTAGTTTTCGTTATGTTTTATCATGAGTTTTACTAGTCAATTACATAAACGAAAATAATAGTTTTATTAATTTTTCCTGCAAAACGACAATAATTAAATTCCTTGAATCCGACCCTGTGAACTCCCTCAAACTGCTGCGCTGACCCAGGACCAAGAGTCCGGCGCGGCATGGCAGGTCAAACGCGGAGTTAACTACTGTGTATAAGCCTTGTATAATTATAAAGCTTCATATATATTCTAAAGCTTCAACTTATTATAACGTCATCTCAAACACTCAAACCTGCCTCAAACCTTTGAAATTTGAAAGTTATATAAATTACACCCTCTACGTCGATTAACTACATTTAATGTAGTTTATATTATAGTTTTCCGAACCCTGGGCCTCCATCCCACCAGCCAAAAATTTCACAGCTCTACGATCAATCTGTCACTCTTGACAAACACGTGTGTGTTTTTAATTTACGTGATCTGTGGTTTTTAACCTTACTTTTTCTAGCATTTATTTTGGTTAAAAAGTTCCAAGAAAATGGGCAAGAAAAAACGCAAAGGACGTTCAGTACGTAACAATAAAAACGTTCTGAGTGAACCTGAGGAAGTGATAAACGCACCCCATTCGTTTGTCATCCACAAGGGCCTACCTGGGGGACATACCCCTGAATTAACTAAGGACTTTAGGAGGGTAATGGAGCCGTACACGGCCAGTTCCTTGAAAGTAAGTCTTCAACAAGATTATTAATGGTAAAGTATGGTTCAAAATGTGCTGTTCTTTTAAGGAAAGGAAGAAAAACTCTATAAAGGACTTTGTTTCCATAGCTGGACCGCTTCATGTAACACACTTGAGCGTTTTTTCAAGAACGGAACTAGGAATGTATTTAAAAATTCTCAGACTACCTAGAGGACCAACTTTAACATTTAAAATTCACAATTTTTCCTTGGCTAGGGACGTAGTATCATCTCTAAAGAAACAAATAGTTGTCGAGGAAGCCTTCAAAACCTCACCGTTAGTGGTTCTAAACAGTTTTAGTGGGGAAGGTCAACACATGAAACTCATGGCATCAATGTTTCAAAACATGTTCCCTACAATTAACCTAACTAATGTTGATTTAAACACAATCAGGAGATGTGTGATGCTGAATTACAATCCCACATCAAAAATGATAGACTTCAGACACTACAACATCAAAGTCGCTCCTGTTGGAATATCAAAGGGAGTTAAAAAGGTTGTCCAAGGCAAAGTGCCTAATCTAGCTAGGTGCAATGATATCACTGATTTTTTTACAAAGTTAGTCTTACAAATTCCTAATATTCTTTCTGTAATTTGAATTCACTATTGTAGAACAGCAGTCATGTCTGAGAGTGAAGCAGAAGATGACCCATGCAATCACATAACTTTAAGCCAAAAACTAAAAACCAGAGGTAATGTAGAATCGGGAAAATCAGCTATAAGATTAACTGAATTAGGACCGAGACTCACATTGCAATTAATAAAAATAGAAGATGGTCTGTTAGATGGTGAAGTTTTATATCATGACTCTGTACATAAATCTGAGGAGGAGAAACTGGAAATACAGAAACGACGTGAAATGAAAAAGTAAGTTTGTAGTTTTAAAAAAAATGTCAGGGTGTTTCAAAATTTTTTTCAAAAAACATGTGCCATCTCCCGTGGGGAGATTCCTCACGTCAAAATAAGATTTATTTTTCCTATCAACATAGGTCTGATTCTGCTTTGTTTTGTAGCTACAGGGTGTTCTTAAGAATCTTTCGATTTATTATAATTTTCTTCCAAGTACTTTTAGCGTTTCAAATGAAATTTTGTGGGTAAAAGTTACTATAAGTGCTACATTTTTTAATGCTAAAAAGATGTTGATAAATTCATCGGGGACAAAAAAAAACAGGTGCGCCACTGACTTTTTTTCTTTTGATATCAAGATGGTCTAGGCCGTTTAATACCAATTAAAAGTTATCTCTTGATATTTTGTTGAATTCGGCCTCCTTGATGAGATAAATTCAATTTTATTAATCACAATAAAATGAAATAAAAATTAAATTAATAAATTATTTATATTTTACCTAATTTATTTATTAGTTATTATTACAATTAATCCAACCTACAGCAATTTCAAATAAAAAAAATAATGATATTTAAGATAATTACAAAAAGTCTAATTTTAAAAAGCGTTAACATATCGTCCTATTGCTGCCCAAAGTCACTAACTAACATTTTTCCGAACAACCAAATTCATCACTAACTATGTTTTGAAGCGGAGAATCAATTGCAAAAGTCATTAACTACGATTTCTGGCTATTTATGTTTTATTTTAATACCGAATAGTTACTAAATATAACATCTTTATGCAATGCAATTCATCTTTAGACGCATTTTTCTCGGAAGTAATAAAAACTAACTTAGTGACTTTTGGCAGCAATGGGACGATATGGTAACTCCAAAACTATGCATTTCCATACCCATGTTTATATGAGCCTTTTTCATATTTTTTGATGAGGAATCAATGAGTACTTATTTAAAACTTTCGCAATTTAATGATATTCACATTTTTTATAAAAGTTGCTATTATTGACTTGGATCAAGGCTAATTAATAAAATTACGTTTATCTCATCAAGGAGGCCGAAATAGACAAAATATCAAGAGACAACTTTTTAATAGGTATTAAACTGCTAACACTATTTCGCTAACAAGAGAAAAAAGTCAGTGGCGTACATGCTTTTTTTAGAAAAATATTCCAGTGATAACCCATATGCAATTTAAAGCGATAAATAATATGCAATTAGCTAATAAATCTGAAATTATTAAAACTTGAACACCCTGTAGCTACGAAACAAAGCAGAATCGGACCTTTGTTGGTTTGAAAAATAAATCTTATTTTTACGTGAGGAATCTCCCCCACGAGAGATGGTACATGTTTTTCGAAACACCCTGTATAATTATTCATATTTTCCATGTTCCCCTTCCCCCCTGTACTTGATGTTAATGGATATATATTTTTTAAAGGAAATTAAAAGAAAAACGTAAGAAAATTCAGGAGGATAATAAGAAAATAAAAGAAAAGCTTAAAGAGGAACACAAAGAAAAATCGCTGAAAGGTATGAAAAAGGATAGTGAGAATAATGAGTCAAACAAGTTAACAAAAAATGATGAAGAAAATATAGTGAGCGATGACGACGACAGAGAATATTATAGAAAAGAAGTTGGTGAAGAGCCCGATCAAGGTAATTATACAGAAATATAAATAATTTTCATTTGAATCATTCTAAAAAATTTATCTATATGAAAATCTTAGATTTATTCTCATCGAGACCGAGTGGCACAAAAAGGCCAGCAAAGACATTCCACTCGTACAAAAACAAGAAACCTCGCCTAGATACAGACAAGAAGGACCGACCTAAATTCAAAGACAGACATTCAGAGAAGAAATTCAGAAAGAAGGTTGACAAAACCAACTCCAAAAACCGAGATCACAGGCCTATTGGAGGAAAATTTGCCAACTCAAGAAAATCAAGTGTTAAAAGAAAAACGAAGCGCAAATAGAGTGTTATTTTACGTTAATAAAGGTGTATTGAATAAAAATAAACCACACATTTATTATTTTTTATTCTCTTTATATTTTTCCCAATTTTCTTTCCTTACTGCTGCCTCCCTGAGTCTCCTCTCCTTCCTGGTTTCCTCCCTAAGCACAAAATATTTTTCCCTAAAATCCTGAATGGAAATATCCCGGATTTCCAGCTCACTCTGGCTGGGTTGTCTGATTTTTTCGTACGTCAGCAATCGGCGTGATGTCACTTTACTTAAAGGCTGTTCACTGTTGGCTACTAGTTTTAGACAAGGGTGTTGTGGAAGACATCTTTCAGTGTAGTCTTCCCTAAAAATATTCGATGAAGTATAGAAACTCAAAAATGTCAGTCTAAAAAATATCGTCACACACTTAAAAGGATTGGGAGGAAACAACCATGATAAAGGAAAGAATATATTCAGGAAAAAGGAATGATACACCAACTACTCACCTCAACCAAAAAGAAAACAGCAGCTCTACAGGGTTTATACACTAAAATTTCTTAACAAGGAAATAAAATATCTTATTCTTTACACTAGTGTATAAAATTTCAACGCTAATCTGTCCAAAAAGATATTTTATTTCTAATTTTAAAAGGATTCAAAGGAAAATAATTTAAGAGAAGGGAATGCGTCCAGGAATAAGGGAAATACATATATAATACACTAACTATTATCTATTAACAAACTAAAAGTACAAACACTACAGAATTACAGTATTAATAAGTTTTAGTAGACTATTATCATTATACAAAAAGGACTGTGAATAAGGAAAGAAATTTACACATAGGAATGGATAAAATAAACTACAACATACAATATAACGACCTACTGAAATAAAATATCTGATTTTTTAGACAAGTGTAAACAAATTTTAACATTAAACAAAATGCCAGACCATAAAGATATTTTATTTCGTAATTCAACATCGTTTCCCACATTCAAACAAATATTACGTTACATAGGAATAGATAAAATAAACGACAAATCTAGCCACTGAAAAAGACTACAAGCATAGAAGCAACAACTTTTAGCTACTACTACTAAACCATTACAGTTGGGGGGTTGGAACCTTTGGTGTTGCCACAGCAAAAAAAAACACACTAATTCGCCATAATACACCAACACACTTTGCTTTTAAACATTGGACGAGCGTTTCGCTAACTACATCATCAGAGTCTTTAATCATTTGCTGTGATGATGCTAACATAGTTAGCGAAACACGCGCCCAGTGTTTAAAAGTAAAGTATGTTGGTGTATTAGTTGCTGAATTATTTTTTTATTTTGTTATCGATTATTAAAGCGCATTATTATTCAAAAATTGTTAATAATATATTAATTGAAATAAGGGTAGAAATAATTGAATAAGTATACAAAAATCACTAAATAGAACTTCAAATATATGGAAACCGTATATGTTAAAATATCATGTTAAGTACTTACATATATCTATTTTAATAACATATGAAAATAATTTAATTAATATTTATATTATAGTTATGTTCTTTCTAATATAGTTTTTTGTTAATATCCAAAATGCAAAACACCATAATGTCTGCTGACCTACCTTAAAATGCCATTTTCTGACTTTTTTGTAAAAATTTTAAAGATTCTAGAAAAATAAATTATTTATATTATTTATAACTATTATTTACGAAAAACGAAGCGAAATAGCTAAAAGCGAAGTAGCTAAAAGCAAAAACAAAATGTGGGAAACCAAATGTGAGAGAGTGGAAAGATATATGGGAGGTACAAGAGTGTCAGAAGCGTGGAAGACAATAAGGAACCTTAGAAGAGACGAAAAGCAAAACAGTAAACTAGAACTTATAAGCATGGAAAAGTGGGAAGACCATTACAAACAGTTACTGACAGAAAACAGGACAGAATTCAAACTAGAAGTGCCAGATTTGAAAAACGCAAAAGATATAGATGTAAATGAAATAAGTGTAAACGAGATAAAGAAAGCATTGAAGCACTCAAAAAATGGAAAAGCTGCGGGGCCGGGAAACATTTTCATTGAGCTAATAAAGCAGGGATCCGATATATTATTGGAAATACTAGCTGATATCTTCAACAGATGCCTGATAAAATACGAAAACATTCCTGAAGACTGGAACCTGGCGTACATCAGCTCTATCTTTAAGAAAGGAGACAAAAAAAGATGTAGCAACTACAGAGGCATTAGTTTGACAAGCTCAATGGGAAGGTTGTATGGCAGGATATTAAAAGAGAGAGTAGAAGAGAGCTTTGAAGAAATAGAAGAACAAGGTGGTTTCCGCGCTGGGTGTTCTTGTATAGACAACATATTTGTGTTACAACAAATAATTGAAAAAAGGAGAGCTCGAAATTTGGACACGCATCTGGTATTTATAGATTTAGAGAAAGCCTATGACACGGTGCCTTTGAAGAAATTATTTGAAATCTTGGTTGAGGCAAATGTGAGTAAAACATATATTAATGCAATCTGGAATATGTACAAAAATTCAAAAAGTATGATCAGACAGGGGAAGTTCCTATCGGAATCCTTCCTGACATCTAAAGGACTTAGACAGGGGTGCAGTTTATCACCTACCTTATTTAAAATATATATACAGGAGGCATTGAAAAACTGGAGAAGGAAGAGTAGAGCTATGGGAATAGAGATTGACAACCACTTCTATCGACCTTGTTCTTTGCAGACGACCAAGTTATTGTTGCAGGTTGTGAGGAGGATGCCGACTATATGTTCAGGAAACTTGAGGAAGAATACGACAGATGGGGACTCAATATCAACCTCACAAAAACCGAATACCTGAAAGTAGGAGAAGAACAAACTGAAGATCCTGAACAACACATACATGAAATTAAAAGGTGTAGCGAATATAAATATTTAGGAAGTATTATATCTGAAGAAGGGAACTCCAAGAAAGATATACATAGTAGAGTTCAACAAGGTAAGAAAGTAATCCGTCTTTTAAACCATCTCCTGTGGTCAAATAAAACATCCATCCAAACAAAGATAAGGATTTACAAAGCAATCGTAGAGCCAATTTTAACATACGGTGCCGAATGCTGTCAATTTACAGCAAAAGAAAGAAGGATGGTCGAGTCAGTGGAGATGGACTTTCTCAGAAGAGTATGTCGCATATCAAGGATGGCACACATTAGAAATGAGGAGATCAGGCAAAGAACAAGGCGAATATATACCAGCACCGACAACATCGAATCGAGACAGCTACTATGGTATGGGCACGTAAAAAGAATGGGAGAGGAAAGATGACCAAAAAGGGCAATGGAGTATCGTCCCCAAAGCAGAAGGAAAAGAGGAAGACCTACAACTACGTGGTTAGATGGAGTAGACCAGTATATGAGAGACAGAGCTATTAACCAGGAAGAATGGCAAAATCGAGCAATATGGAGGTCGAAATGCGGGATGCGGCAGAAGCTGTAGGACCCCCTGCTTTATATATATATATATATATATATATATATATATATATATATATATATATTGGTTAATGGTGGAAAAAACTACGTGGTTAGATGGAGTAGACCAGTATATGAGATATATATATATATATAGGAAGATATATATATATATATATATATATATATATATATATATATATATATATATATATATATATATATATATATATATATATATATATATATATATATATATATATTTACGAAAAACTATATTAAGTATAAAAGATATACAGTATGTCCTCTGATTGTCTTCAAAGAGGAAAAACTTTTTTATTATTGACATTTTAAGAAAAATGCATTCTTCATATAAATTTTTGCTTGTTCTAAAATGGTTAATCCCGTTTATATTTTTCCAAATTTCCATACCGTTTTAAAGAAACTTTTTATTCAAAGTATAGATGGCTATTATTAATTTTGATTAACGTCATATTTTCTGGTGTTATTCTTAATCACCGCTTCCGTAGCATTGAACTAAATAAAGTTTGTGCTTTTTTAACATATTCAAACAACAAAAAATATGACGATAATGAACATTCTATTAATAACAATCTGTCAAAAAATTAAAACCGAAATGATATTAGCAAACAATATTTTCATGATTTTTTTAATTTTCAAAAAAGAAATCAAATACTTATTTAAAACATGCATTTGGTGTTAATTGTTAATGCACAATTAAAATTATACAAAACTAAAAGCAATTATTACATGCTCCAATTATTATGGAAAATAAATCTAAAAATGATAATAATTTTAATATAGCTACAGGCTACAGGCTTTTCACTTAATATCTATTTTAGTCAATAGATATTGGTTTTAGAGAAAAGTTTAAATGTTTTATGTAATTTTCAGAAAAAAATTTACAGAGATAAATAATGTTTAAAATATACACGAACAATCCATACATACTCAATAGACAAAAAAATAAATATATAAAAAATAAAACACATATTTGAAATGTACTGATTAGTAATTAAGTAATATGTATGTTTATGCTCTCACTTATAAAATGTATTAGTTATATATCCTTGTTCTAATGAACTAAAGAAAAACTAAATGTCATGCAAAAATCGTGCCATGCATAATTTATTCAGTAACTTACCGAAATACAGGAAACCAACACACTAGCCTGCCTCCTATCCTCAAATGCTTAGCAGAAAATACCAATAAATCTCTGTATATGCTTGGAATTCCATACTCTATTTTGGCCGGTACATGAGTAGCTAAATGCTCATCACTCACCACACAATCTTCTTTTTCGGTTCCTATTCTTTCTGTTGCTTCCCTGATACCATATGGTGCTGAAAAGATAGAGAAAATATATGATAACAATATAATCACGAGTCATTATTCAAAATACAAAAGTTTTCTGACAAAATCTCACCCACTTACGGTCAGTGATCACCGCATCAAATTCAAGTGAATCTTTCCAAAAAACCATGGCAAAATCATTCACAAGAACATCTAAATACTTATGTCCTAAGTTATATTGCTGCATATTAGCACATATAGATTCATCATTTTCTCTTTTCTACATAGAAATTACAAAAATAAATTAAAAGAACTGTCTATACCCCAAAATTGTATCGTACCTTTTGTCTTATTCTTGATGGTTTCGTTCTGCCATGTAACATCAGATAATCTATGTCAGAACCAAAAACATATGCACCAAATTGTGCTGCTGCTACTAACAAAGAACCTGAACCAACAAAAGGGTCTAAAACTATGTCACCATCATGAATTTGGGCTTGATTAGCCATCAGAAGAGAAAGTTGAGGATCCATGCTAGTATTACCAATAAATTTCCTAGTTTTTAAAGATAGTTTCTTACTTAACTGCCTAAGTCCATCAGCCACCTAATAATAAAAAAATAGACAACAAAAGCTATGGAGAATAAAATGTTTAGCTTACCCATCTTCCAAAAAACACATCATAAGGTAACTCAGGAGGTTCAAGAGCTTTTGTACCATAATATTCAATGTAATACAATCTAATATCTGGACTCTTAAGATTCACCTCCCCTTGTAAAGGTAAATATGAAAAAGTCTAAACAAAAATATTTCTATTAAAACAAAACTACTATTTTTAATCACGACTGACCTCAATCTTCTCAACTTTTTCTTGTAAAGTAAAATGCCTACAAAATGTCTCAACTTCAATTTTAAAGGACTTGTTTGGTGGAAAATAGCTAGCAAGCATTTCAGCCTTTGCATGTAAGGTATTATGAAGCTTCTCTAAACTCGGTTCATGGCCCCACAGCTCTAGACACGTTCTAAGAGACACAGATCGACTAGCAAGTAGTTTTGCATCATCTTCAGATGAAAATTCGACTACCCAGTAAGGCTGCTATAAAATACAACAAAAAAGTTTGCCAAACAACATTAAAACTATATTGATATAGGCAGAATTATTTTTTTTGGCATTCTATACCTGATAAACTTATCCGTGTATCAAATGTAGAAATTGAAAATAATTACCAAATCTCTAGGTTTTTCCTGATATTTCATATGAATACGAAGCAGAGATAGTAGCGATTCTATTTCCTGCAAAAAACTACGTTTTTAATAGAATTAAAAAATATGAAGACATGGATGTTTTAAAAAGTCACTCACGGAAACTCGAAATTCGACATGTTCCTGTGCGAACCACAACAAATACTTCTTCCACATTTTACTCATTATTGTAGATAATAGATTTTTCGTATTTTAATCTATTTTTCCATACAAAAAACATTAAAAACTTTCGAAAACTTCTCAAGAAATCATACAGAAAATAATAACCACAAAAATAATGACAAGATGGCGACCGGACTACGAGTATCAGTAGTTCATTTGTTTCCAGCTGTTTCTAGATTTGGTTTCTAAGCGTGTTCAATTAAAAACTTTAACGTCAAAAAAGCAAAAGATGTAATTGATATGATCAGAGGTTTTTATATGAGGAATAACTAAAATAAAAAAGAATTAAATATTTTTATTTGCAATATTAAAGTCTTAAAATACATACAACTATATTAATAAAAATTTTAAACTTGCGCTTGATCTTTGATATAATGGTTTTTACCATAAATTTTTGTTAAAAACGGAAAAAGCATTTGTTTAACATTTGAAATACTCTGCAATCGTTTTCCCTGATTGGTCATGCTCATTAAAGACAAATTAACGAAAAAAATAAACAGCTCTTAATGCCATACGATAGTAAACAATCAAGAAACCTATTTTCAAACACTCAATACTGGGCAGTCGAGCATGAGAAAGGTGTTTTAACAAAAAAGTGGCTGAGATCACTGTAAGGGCACCAAAACGTTCCCTCTGGATGATTCCGCTGCTTGAGGCGTGCTCCCCTCCTTTGAATTGTCCATATTCCTATTTTTGAAATTGATACTGATATTGTATTTTTCCCTGTAATCGTTGATTTCTTGTCCTTTCTTTGTGATCTGTTCAGTTAGAATATCTATCAGTTCCTGAAGTTTTCCTTGATTTGTTACAAGTACTGGTAAGACGTCTTTAACCTTCCTTTCCGTTAGGACACCTCCTACTAGTCTGTAACACTTTCTATCATCGTTCACATTTTTTAGAGTTTCAATAACTATTCTGTAAACAATTAATTTGGTAAATTCAAAGTAAATAAAAAGATTTATATTCACGTTAACAAAATTACAATAAATTAATGCTAAAAAATACAGATTCTTCGGAAAAATAACGAATTTTAACCCCATTTGGTGCTTACTTGTGTTCGTTCAAGTCCAATTCTATTTCAGATAGTTTAGACGATAAACTTCTTTGTTCTGCTCTCAACGTTTGAAATCCATTCAATATTTCTTGAGGATCGGGACCTTTGCCAGTCTTTTTTTCTTGCTTTGCCATTTTTGGTCAACGAAAACTGACGAAAATGCCGAAATCAACAGAATTTTGGAAAGTGGAAAGAAAAACGTCAGAAAAATGACACAAAAACTGTCAAACATATTTAACAAAAATAATCTATGGTCTCTGCAATCTCTGTTTCAAAAAGCACATGTATTTGACATTTAATGAATTAACCTAACTTTTTAGGCTTACATTTGCCATTTGTAAACACAGAATGTAAAATTAAGAAATTCAATATGAAGTTCTTCTATAAGGTAACATCTTGGTATATTTTCAGATTCTTTTCACATTAATTCACATTTTAGTTCAGCAATTTACTGGGAACAGTCTACCGAAAAGGAGATCTACTCTTTACACCTGATGGTAACTCTGTAATTACAACTGTAGGCAACAGAATAAGTGTCTTCGATCTTAGAAAGTAAAAAAAATATATTTCTTTGAAACATTTGTTCTTTATGTTTGTTTTTTACAGCAACAAATGTAGTACACTTCCAATCGAAAGCCGATTCAACTATGTTACATTGGACATAAGCCCCAATGGGTGTACTTTAATAGCCATAAATGAAGAAGGTGAGGCTCACATGATTAGCCTCATATCACAGACAATAACTCACAAGTACAGATTCAAAGGAAAATGCAGATCCATTAGGTTCAGCCCTGATGGCAAACATTTTGCTGTATGTAAAGATAACAATGGTAAAATCAAATTAATTCAAAATTGAAATTCAATTTACTGATTCAAAGCTTACAGTGTTTGTTTTTAATGCTCCTGGGCCATTATCTGGCCAATATAATGCTTTTGTCATGGAAAGGGTCTTCCATGGTGCTTATGATGAAACCACATGCTTGGACTGGTCATCAGATTCAAAAATTCTAGCTGTTGGATCAAAAGATATGGCAACAAAGTTGTATCCACTGGACAAGTATAAGATTATCTTAAGCTTGTGAACTCTTTAATATTTTTACATTATTTTTAGGTGTAAAAATTTCAGAATATACTCTCTAGGCAATCATACTGATGGTATAGTAGGTTGTTTCTTTGAAAAGAATTCTTATGACTTGATAACACTTTCAAGAAATGGACAAGTATGTATATGGGAATGTACCATTGATCCAGAAGATTTAAAACCTCTTGATGAAATACCCATTAAAAAGAAAGTATGACATTTTTATTTACTAAAATATTCTCCATGAAACATATTGGTACATATTTTTTTTGAAGAAATCTTCAGATGACAGTGAAGAGGATGATATCGATATTACAAAAAGCTTGGAAAAATCGGAAGAAGAAGCAGTGAAAGCATTGGGTGAAATTGAAGTAAATGAAACAAAGGAAGAGTTGAACAAGGGCAAATTATTTTATAAAAGACTGGCCAGACATTACTTGGCAGATGAGATAAGAAAAAATAAAAAAGATGCTGTTTTAACTTCTGTAGCATATCATAAACCTTCAAAAATATTAGTTACAGGTATAAATGCATTTATATTATATAAAATATTATCTAATTTTTATTTATAGGTTATTCGACTGGCGACTTCTTTATTCATGAAGCCCCAGATATGAATTTAATTCACTCGTTAAATATTTCTGACCAAAAAATAACTTCCATCTCATTAAACAATTCGGGAGATTGGATTGCACTAGGGTGTAGCGGTATTGGACAATTACTAGTTTGGGAATGGCAAAGTTAGTAGGTTTATACACTTATTATTATTACAGGGTTGCTCACCATACACGACACGGAGTATTGTAGCTAAACGATTAGATTTTTACAAATTGTAAGTTTTGGATTCGTTGAAGGATTATTAGAGTTACAATTTAAAAATTTAAAAATTTTTACAAGATACAGAGTGTCCCAAATAAATAAAAAATATCCAAGTTGTTTTTTTTAAATGGAACACCCTGTATATTTTACGAGAATCAGATGCACAATTTAATTGTCTATCAAATTGTATTATATCATTTTTTACCTATCTCTTCAACTTTTCGTAGAAAAAGCCTTTTCTTATAATTTAGACCTTGTCTATCAATATACCCATGGAATATTGACATTTTAGATTATTTTTAAAGATGGAACAAATTTTCAAAGAGTACAGATACTAATATTGTTGATATAGTTCGCTTTGGTTTGGTTTGGTTTGGTTATTATTTTTAATGAAATAATTAAAAATAATAAAACTTAAAATATTTGTTAAAGAGGACCAATTAATATGAACCCAGTATTCAAACTACATTAATTGACTGTTTGCGTTGATTAATAATAACTGCTCCAAATACTAAAAACTGAATTTTGAATGTGTTTACAGTGTGGTAAAAAATAACACCGTATAAATTTTATTTAATTTTTTTGACGAGAAATTTTATTTATTTTTTTGACAACAGAGACATTCATTTTCATAACTTATTATTATATTGATTTCTGATTCAAATCCACATTTATTTAGATTAATTTATTAACGAACACAATTAAGTATGTAATTAATTAATATTTGCGCGGAAATAATAGTGGTACATTTATTTGGTGCTTGCAATATTATCGTTTTTAACACCTGTACATTTTGTACATTTGTTGCTTTAAAAAAAAAAAATGTCTATTCCATGAGTATCTTGATAAATGGTCTAAATTATAAGAAAATTCATTTTCTACGAAAACTTGAAGAGATAGGTAAAAATGGTACCACACTATTTGATAGACAATAAAATTGTGCATCTGAACCTCGTAAAATATACATGGTGTTCCATTTAAATTCAAGAAGTTATTGCTGTTTAAAGCTAGTAATTATTTAAAATAAATTTTTGGACAATCTGTATAAGATAGTTTAATTCTTATTATTGCAACACAATATCTGATCAATAAATAATCTTCAGTAAATATTTAGTATTAAAAACTTTGATACCCTTAGAAAAATGAAGCCTTAAAATTTTTACTGCAATTTCACACAATTGAAAATATTTCAAAAACGGTAAGGTTTAAGTGTGATAAACCTTAATCAAATTTACCTTTATTTCAATCGTAGAATCTAAAAATAGAATAATATACAGGGTGTTCTAGTTAAAAAATACAACTATAATATTTTTTATTTATTTGGGACACTGTATCTTGTGAAAATATTTTTAAATTGTAGCTCTTCAACGTCAAAGTCCTTCAACGAACCCAAAACTTACAATTTGTAAAAATCTATTCGTTTAACTACAATACTCCGTGTCGTATGTAGTGAACAACTCTATACAGGGTGTCTCAGATTTTAATCGGGAAAATTTAATAGACGATAGAACTTGCAAAAATAAAACAAAAAGTTCATATCAACTTGTAAGATTTAAAGCTTCCTTTTCGAGATACAGGGTGTTAAAGTTCTTTAAAAATGAAAAAAAATAAGATATTTGAAAAACTATTTAATCGATTTTGATATAACTTGACCCGTTTATAATACTTACTATGGGACTTAATTTGATGTAATTAGATTTAAGTTTAATGGCCAGTGGCGGCGGTGGGGCATCACTGTTAAATTATTTTAAAGGAAAAAATAGGCACGCCACTGCTTTTTTAGAAGTTTAATATTATTTTTGGATTTAGTAATTGTCTCCTGACTTTTTTGTCTATATTGCTTACTTCTTGCGAAAAAAATTAAATTCATATTTATTCACTCCACCCTGGACAATAAATTAAATAATAATGGTTAGTTACATCAACGCATTGGTTGAAGGCAACAATACCAGAAACCAATGCGTTGATGTTAGTGGTTATCAATTCGAACAATTATTGTAATTGTTGTAACTAACCATTATTATTTAATTTATTGTCCAGGGTGGAGTGAATAAATGAATTTATTTTTTTCGCCAGAAGTAAGCAAGGTAGACAAAAAAGTCAGGAGACAAAAAAATAATATTTTTAATTACTAAATCCAAAAATATTATTAAACTTCTAAAAAAGCAGTGGCGTGCCTATTTTTTTCCTTTAAAATAATTGAACAGTGATGCCCCACCGCCGCCCATGGCCATTAAACTTAAATCTAATTATATCAAATTAAGTCCCATAGTAAGTATTATAAACGGGTCAAGTTATATCAAAATCGATTAAATAGTTTTTCAAATATCTTAATTTTTTTTTTCTTTTTTAAGTAACTTTAACACCCTGTATCTCGAAAAGGAAGCTTTAAATCTTACAAGTTGATATGAACTTTTTGTTTTATTTTTGCAAGTTCTATCGTCTATTAAATTTTCCCGATTAAAATCTGAGACACCCTGTATAATTGTAAATAATTTTTCTCAGGTGAAACATACGTAATGAAACAACAAAGTCACACAAATAACATGTCTTGCGTGTCCTATTCTGCCGATGGACAGTTTCTAGCAACAGGAGGTGAAGATGGAAAAGTTAAATTATGGAACATTGGCTCTGGATTTTGTTTTGTCACATTTGCTGAACATTCTAGTGCTGTAACAGCAATAAGATTTAGTGGAAACAAGAAATTTGTTGTGTCAGCATCACTGGATGGTACAGTACGAGCATTTGATATTTTAAGGTACCGAATAGTGCAACCTATCTAGAAGAAAATGAAATTTTTAGACATACGTGTAATTTTTTACAGGTATCGAAACTTTAGAACCTTTACATCGCCAAGACCTGTTCAATTTTCGTGCGTAGCCGTCGATACAAGCGGAGAGTTCGTTTCTGCAGGTGGTCAAGACATTTTTGAGATATATTTGTGGTCAGTTAAGACAGGGAGATTATTGGAAATATTAGCCGGTCATGAAGGACCAGTGGTAAGAATTAAATATTTAAAAAAAATGTGTGTGCACTATTTGCGCATATTTGAAGTGATACTTCTTACTAACAGCTATTAAATTGAAGGATTTGAAGGACATGTTTGAAAAAGTCTAGTGTGAAATGTTGAAAAAGCAATAAATTCAAAAAATTGTGTAACAAATAGTTTGGTTTGGTTTAAAAAATAGTTACGCGTAAAATAATAGTTTTTTACGTGTAAGAAATAGTTTTTTGTGGGTGACAAATAATTTAATAGCAAATATTAATAATAAGTTTTTTCAGTACACACAACAAATATGTAGTTTTATACGCGTAAAATAGTTTTTTATGCGTAACAAACAGTTCTATACGCGTAAAAAACTATTTATAAGATTATATCCTTTATATAAAAGATTACAGCTTCATTCAGAACCTCCAAATCAGTGGAATAAATTAGTAGTTTCAATTAGTCGCAGAAGTTTGTTCATCTAATTTTAATGTAAGCATTCAGAACGTCATAATTAGTAATAGTAATTTTCAATTAGTGGAAAAAGTTAACAAACTTTTGACTTTTCCACTAATTATACTTCAAAATTTGCCAGGAATGTCATTTTGGCCTTTGATTATCACCCGTCAAGAAAAATGTTGGTTAGAAATTAAAAGTTTATTGTTTTATAACTTTGAATAAGAAGACTAATGAAGGAGCATATTAAAAATCTTATGTCCACCGCGATGGGACTCAAATATGGCCGACTTAAATTCCGGTTTATCAGTGCCGTTCTAATTTTATTTAAAAAATGTAAAACTATGATGTAGGGTAGATGTGGGGTAGACCCAATATTTTTTTTTGTATTTTACGTTGTGAATAAATGTTGGTAGTTATTAAAATTGTTATAAAAACATATTATTATAATAAAAATAGATAAGTTTTAATAATTATTTATTAACACAAACATCCGATACGCTACTGAAGCAGGTAAGTCAAATTGGCGTATCTAAATTCTTAGACATCTAATCTTTGACAAATAGTAAATAAAAGCAAAAATGCAAGAAAAAATATATATAGTTAATTTAAGGAAATTGCATAAATGATCGGTTCACTACACATATGTATATTATATAGGTAGTCACTTACTAGCAAAAAGTTGTTCCATTATTTCACTCGATTTTTGCCGAGATCTACCGCACGCTACACAACCAACTATTTTAGAGTCTTTTTCGATAAATCGCGATAGTGTCACTGTTAATTTTTAAGTTCTGCCACTATTTCCATCTAGATTTACTACCTTTATACAACTATCAGTAGTAGAATAAATAATAAATAACATAAAATAAGCTACGTCAAGACTGACAAATCCACAAAATTTCAAATCAAATTCAAATGTGTCAAATGAATCGTCAAACAGAACAGTTTTCCCACCCTAGAGTCCTTTTTCCGCCCACTATGCATGAATACATGGATAGCATTATGCTCCTTCCTTACCCCCGGTGTTTTCAGGTACGGATAGCGTGTTATAATCTGCCAGATATATTTTATTTGACGGATAGCAGAAAAACGCGTATCTTCACCTATAGATAACAGTATCTATTAGATAAATTAAACTTATCTCTCAGATATCCTATCTGGCGCCCCAACTGCCAAATAGTGCTTTATTTGTCGGATAAAATTTGACGCATGAGCAAAGGCATGAGGAGATATTGATTTTATTTGATATTTGACAAAATTGCTTAACATAACCAAGACATTGTTATTATTGAAGATTTCGTTTATTCCAATAAATTCGATTTTAGATTATTTGGAAAAGACTTACCTATTCTGAGTATGTAGGCTATAATCATTTTAGAACGTATGGGGTATAAACACCAATAAACACATTGAAATGGTGCAAAAAACTATTGTTGCTAGTGCCGGACTTTATAAGGACTGTTACAAAATAAAGAGAGTCTCTGTTCTGTTAGAGCATCAGAACGAAGAGAATGCATTAAGTTAGGATAATAGTGATAAAACAGTAATTTATAAATTATTTTATTTAAATCCTTTCAATTATAAACCATTACTACATATTATATAAAATGCTAATGTTTATCTGTGTCGTCTCTACTGAAGTAACGACTTGCTCTAGAAAGTTGCTTTTTTAAAAAAAAAAGCAACTAAAAGATAGCTGGCTAAAATGGCTCTTCTAAAAATTGTCGTCGCCGGATTTTTTGTTTTTCATTTAATTTAAAAAAAATCTCGTGGCGGAAGCGCCAGGCTTCAACTAGTTTTTAATAAGGTTCTAAAGTAGGTAAAAAATAAATAAAACTTTTTAAATCAAACTATTTATTTCATTTTTAATTCGCATATCTTAATTCATTAATATTATAACAGGAACCTTATAAAACCTGTTATTCAACTTACATTTGCTTTTATTTCTTTTGTGTTACAATTTTAGTTTAATTTCTTGCACTATGTACCTTATACCGTATGATCGAAAAAAAAACGGCGTCCAGTTGGCTGGGAAATGATGATCGATTATATTTCCCATATAAATTTAGATATGAAATGACAGCAATCTTTATTTCATAGCCATTGCTGACGCCGTTTTTTTCGATCATACGGTACATCTCTTCTCCATGCTGTTTTTTAAGTAACTCTCTAGCTAAACCTTGCTAAAAATTGTGGTCCTTTGAATTCCAGTTAGTTCAACTTTGTTTAGACAAGTTTTTTCCTTTATTTTTTGAAGTTCCATCACTTTAAGTTCTTAAAAATAAAAGTATTATGACAAAATTGTTTTTATTTAATGTTTTTTATTAAATAATTTGTACATATAATGTGTAAATGTAACAATTATTATAGGTACTATTCATTTATTATTATTAAGACAAAAGTATAAGTGCATTTATCTATTTTATAAAATAAAAACTCACCTTAATTACTATCATTGATGCTATCCTACCTATTTCTTTACTATGAGAAGCCCTAGAACAACATATTTGTTATTACTAACAGTCTTATGCTATTTTTAATTTTCAATATTAATAACTTACCAGATGGTGGTTTTAGGATTGGTTTTTATAAATCTCTGCTTGCACTTCACCAGCTTCTTCCATATTTTCTATTAGCAATTTTACTAAAATGTTAATATAATAAATATAACAGTAATATCATGTAATTAAACTATAAATTACTTACAGATTATTTTTTCTTGTTTTAATTTCTTATAAATCGCATTCCATCAATAGATCTATTGCACCACCACCACTGCTGAAATTGAATTATCTTTCCATTTTTCCATAAAGGTAAATTTAAATAGCCTATACCATAATAGGACTAGCTGGAGTTGAACACAAAATATATTTTAGTTGAATTTTATTGTTTTTATTTTCATTTTGACGATCTTTTGACAACTGAACAATAACCTCACTTTTTAATCTAACGATTTGAAATTCCGAGTTTCTGTCACTGTCTGTTGTATCGACTTTTCATATATAACCATCTTAATTTCAGATATCTTATATTGGCAACACTTTCTCTACGGAGTGTCTACCGGTCCGTAGGCGGCCGTCCTCCAAATTGTTATCTATTGGATTATTTTGTATGAAAATACCCAAATGTTATATCCTATAGATATCAGGCTCTAGATTGTTTATCTTTTAGATGGTTATTTGTTAGATAAAAGTTATTTATTTATAACTGAAGAGACCGAGCCTTAGTCTTCTTATTCAAAGGGTAGATGGTTATTATTAATTTGTATATGTTATTAATTTTGATAACGTCATACTTTTTGCTGTTGTTAAAATATCAAATTTCCTAATAACTATTATCGTCCTTTCCCTAGCATTGAACAAAATTATTTTTTTGCTTCTTTAACATTTTAAAATAGCAACAAATATGACATTAATTAAAATTCTATCAATAAAAATCTATCAAAGACGGAAAACGAAATTATATTACCACAGAAACGCGTTTTGATTTTTAGGACTTAAAAATATAGCTATATTTTTATGTTTTTTTATTTTCTCAAAAACGATATGGAAATTTGGAAAAGAATAAACGGGATTAACCACTTTAGAGCAAACTAAAATGTTTATGAAGAATGCATTTTTCCCAAAATGTCTATAATAAAAATGTGTTTGCTCTTGTAAAGATAATCCGGTGACATACTGTATAAGATTATAAGACTTATTTTTTTTATAAGATATGTTTTTTACGCGTAACAAATAGTTTTATACTTACGCATAAAATAAAGAAGTAATTTGATTCACTTACCCAGTATTAAAATATCAATATTATTGATAAACATGTGGACTGCTCACAAATACACGTCGTGTCACTAACATATTTCTAAGCTGTAGACTATCCTTAATCCTTACCACTTTTCGTCTCGCGCTTATGTGTCACGGCCTTGAATTTTGAATCCCAGCACGCGTAAAGAAGTAGCTTTGTTCGGGTTCAGAATCGGTAATAACAAGAACCCGAATAAAGCTAATTTCACTTCAATAATTTGATTCACTTTGACAAAATTTTGTACTAAAATATTAATATCTTTGATAAACACGTGGACTGTTCACAAATACACGTCGCGTCACTACGTATTTTTAAACCATAGGCTGTCTCGCTAGCTCATGTGACAGCCTTGAATTTTTACTCCTAACACGCGTAAAGAACTTCAATATTATGAAAAAAATACACAAAAAATATCTGAAGAGCATTAAAAAGTCTTCATATATTTTGCAAATCGAACTTCGTTTGTTTCGCGCTGTCAATTATTAAAAACGTTATATAGGCAACTCAAAATTCACTAATTTTAAATTGCAACTGCTTCATACTAAAATAATTGAATTTCAAAACGATTTTAGGCAACTTTGGCATTTAGCCCGAATATAACGAACACCGTAATGGTTTCTGCTTCGTGGGATAAGACTTTGAGAATATGGGATGCCATAGAAAAAGGTTCAGCTCATGAAACTGTTGAACTTACAGCCGATGGTATTTGCGCAGTGTTCAATCCGAACGGCAAAGAAGTCGCTGTAGCTACTTTAGATGGCCAAATATCGATATTTGACGTTCAAACAGCGTCGCAGGTGACTTCCATCGAGGGTAGAAATGATTTGGGCAGTGGAAGATCCGATACAGATTTAATAACAGCCAAGAAAAGTTTAGAAGCAAAGTAAAATATAAATATATGCCTAAAAAAATGATTTTTTCATAATAACATTGTTATATTTTAGATCCTTTACTACTTTATGTTATTCAGCTGATGGAGAATATATTTTAGCTGGAGGTCAATCGAAGAACGTCTGTATTTACAACGCCAAAGAAGCTTTGTTGCTGAAAAAATTTGAAATAACACAAAATAGATCTTTTGATGCAGTAGATGTAATTTTTTCATTAATTATTTGGCTTTGCAGTATGAGTTTTTATTTTACTTGTAGGACTTTATAAATAGGAGAAAACTTACGGAATTTGGGAATTTGGCATTGGTGGAGGAACGAGATGAGACGGAAGGTGGAAATGTGACGATAAAATTGCCTGGTGTTAGGAAAGGAGATATGGCAAGCAGAATAATTAAACCAGAGGTAAATATAATGAAGATAGGGAGATGTAGGCTTAAGTCTCTTCCTGTTTTTGCGTTTTAGTTGGGGATTACATTAAAAAAAACAATAAAAAAAGAATAATATTTTTTAACTATTAATTAATAACAAAACAAAAATTTTATCTCTCCAAAAATGTCTCCTATGGGTGTAAGAAAATCTACAAAATAAAATAGTTATATTTTGTAAGCACTGCTGAGTTAATCCATTGGAGACTAATTTTCAGCAGTGGTTTACTAATAAAAAAATGGAAGTGACTCCGCTGCCGGCGCCGGCGCGGCGCCGGCTTCCAAAATTCGGAAGAGAAGAACCAAACCAATCCCACCAAATAGTTAAGCTAACCAACGCAATCAACCCCACCAAATAACCAACTTAACCAACGCAATCCGTATAGTCTAAGAGCTAGCAACGTTTTCGAGAAAGTATTTTAAGACGTCTGGCTCTTTGATATATCTTTTACTGTGCTCTCTGGAACAGCATACGGCCCGTCTGGCTGCCGATACCCGTTGCGTTCACTACTGCGTATCGGAAGAAGATCCTATATGTTTTATTAATTTAGTCCTATAAATTCTAGTATTGAATATAAATCGAACATGTCTCCATAGCGCAGTGCGTAGAGTTTCCGACCACGAACCGATGATTCAGAGTTCGAATCCGGGTCAGGTCAAAAAGCCTTTTTTTTATTTTATTTTCGTTTATTATTCTGATAGTAAAGTATTAAATAATTATGGTAATTTAAAAAAAAACAAATATTTAATACTTTACTATCAGAATATAAACGAAAATAAAATAAAAAGTCTTTGCCCCGACCCGGATTCGAACTCTGAATCATCGGTTCGTGGTCGGAAACTATACGCACTGCGCTATGGAGACATGTTCGATTTATATTCAATACTAGAATTTAAAGGACTAATAAAAATATAGGATCTTCTTTCAATGCGCAGTAGGGAACGCAACGTTTACCGGCAGCCAGACGGGCCGCATGCTGTTCTAGAGAGCATAGTAAAAGATACATCAAAGAGCTAGACGTCTTAAAGTACTTGTTTTTCTGACGTTGCTAGCTCTCGTACTAGTATTTTGATTGCTATTAACTATTTACATATTTTTTAAGAAATAAAAACAGCTGTAAAACAATAAAAAAGCTTTGGTCCGACGTGACATTTGAACCACGGACCTTTCGTTCACGAAGCGATGGCCTCAGTCACAGGGCCACAGCTACTGTTACAAAACTTGCTATAGCCAGGCCTTACTTTCCGCCATTCTTTCACTGTCAATTGAACCAGAGCCGGCAACCATTAAGGGAACCGGCGCGGCGCGGAGTCACTTTCTAAAAATAATTGCCTAACGGACAAAAAAATGCTTAACGTTTGGGAAAGTATATCTATTTCCGTCGTCGGAAGCAAAAAAATACAAAGAACAAAGAAAAGAACTATTTAAAATATCTAAATGCAACTATTCGAGAACATTTTTAAGTGTAAGTTTTTTACGTGTAAAAAATAGTATTTTACGTTAGTTTTTTCTACTTGCCCATCCTTGAAAATAAATAAAATCAAGTAAACTTATATTTCTCTAGGTTCGAGTATTTTCTCTGCAATTTTCACCAACCGGTGAACAATGGGCAGCCGCAACTACCGAAGGTTTACTAATATATTCACTCACGGCGGGACTTATTTTCGATCCATGGGATTTACAATTAGGGATCACACCCATGGCTGTTAAAAACGCAATCAAGGAAGAAGATTTTTCAAATGGTACGAAATTTAATTGTAAATACAGGGTGTTATTTAAGTACCTAGCCAAACTCGGTTGTGGATTCTTTGAACAATTTTATATGGAAAAGTTTATACATATAAACATTGGTCCAGAAATGTTAATCTTCCTATACTTTTATTAATTTTGTTGAAATTCGGCAATGGTATTTACCTAGTGTGGAGCTAATTTTACCCTAATTAGATTAAAAAAATTAAGTTCAATGGCGTCCTGGAAGAGACTCTAAACCAATATTTTTAACAAAATAAATTGTGCTTCGCTGGGTATTTTCAATTCTTGTTTTTATTTTCAGATTTAGCAACTCTAAATACAATTTCTACCCCTGAGAGTTTTTATGTATCTTCGTGTGTTCGTTTTTAAGATAAAAAATTGTGGGTGCAACAGTGTGCACTATGTGCGCATATTTCAAGTGAAACTTCTTACTAACAGCAATTAAATTGAAGGATTTGAAAGACACGTTAGAAAAAGTCTAATAAAAAATTATTTTTTACATGCAACAAATAGTTTTTCACACATAAAAAATAGTTTTTTTGTGTGTAACACATACTTTTTTACGCGTAAAAAATAGTTTTTTACATATAACAAATAGTTTTTCATACGTAAAAAATAGTATTACACGTAAAAATCGTTTTTTACGTGTAACAAATAGTTATGCATAAAATAAAATACGTCGCATCGCACTACATATCTCTAAGCCGTAGACTATGTTTTACTCCCAACGCGTGTCCTTACCATTTCTTGTTTCGCTAGCTCGTGTGTCAAGGGTTTGAATTTTTACACCCAGCACGCGTAAAAAAGGTTCACTTCAAAAAATAAGAAAATTCAAAAGCGTTAAAAAAGTTGTATTTTTAATTGCTTAACCTGAAAAAAAGTATAAAAGTTAAAAAACAAATCAGTGGCGCACAATTACAAGTTAGGATTATATTGGCCTCGTTAACATGATTTTTAAAAGTTTAACACCCGGTATAGGCTTGTTGCCAATGACTAAAGAATATAAGGACATGTAACGCCCCTATACGGGCTGCAGCAGAATTTGTGACCTTTTTTTTTGTTTTGGTGGCAAACAATGAGTCTTCATTTGGTCACCAGCGACAATATTAGCGATTTTTAATAGTTTGTGTGTAGTAAACTTTGTGTAAACTTTATTACAATGGTGATTAGTTGTTCAGCTTTCATGTGTAAAAGCAGCAGCGATAAGAAAGAACCAGGAGTTACGTTTCATACGTAAATAAACAGTCCACTCCAACTCTTTAGCGTTTTCTTATTGAATTCGATAATTATTCTTCAATTTCAATTAACATCTATATGTACTTGAAATGTGCTATACGTCGATACTAGTTTTGTACCTTTGTTAACATTTTAATACGTTTTTTTCGTAATTAATTAGGATGATACACCATAGGCGTAGTCAAAACAATTATCAAAAAATATAAATATTGCTTCAAACAGCTAGGTTGAGAAAAATATGTGCCACGGCACTGTTTGGTGACATCGTCACAATTTGCTCTCGGGTGTTATTTGTCCTTGGATTCTTTAGTCATTGCTTGGTCTTTGAATAAGAAGACTAAGGAAGGAGCATATCAAAAATCTTAGGTACACCGCGATGGGCCTCAAATATGGCCGACTTAAATTCCGGTTTATCAGTGTCGTTCTAATTTTATTTAAAAAATGTAAAACTATGATGTAGGGTAGACGTGGGGTAGACTCAATAATTTGTTGTTTTATTTTACGTTGTGAATAAATGTTGGTAGTTATTAAAATTGTTATAAAAATATATAATTTAGTTAATTTAAGTGAATTTCATAAATGATCGGTTTACTACACGTATGTATATTATATAGTCACTTACTAGCGAAAAGTTGTTCCATTATTTCACTCAATTTTTGCCGAGATCTACCGCACGCTACACAACCAACTATTTTAGAGTCTTTTTCGATAAATCGCGATAGTGTCACTGTTAATTTAAGTTCTGCCACAATTTCCATCTAGATTTACTACCTTTATACAACTATCAGTAGTAGAATAAATAATAAATAACATAAAATAAGCTCCGTAAAGACTGACAAATCCACAAAATTTCAAATCAAATTCAAATGTGTCAAATGAATCGTCAAACAGAACTGTCAAGGATCCCCACCCTAGAGAGCTTTTATGGTGGCTTTTCCGCCCACCATGCATGAATACATGGATAGCATTATGCTCCTTCCTTAGTCTTCTTATTCAAAGTGCTTGGTGCATTCTCCGCCGGTGCTGCCACCGCCGGAGAATATCGTAAATGACGAATACATACAAATACACGGGTTTAAATGGCGAGTAAACAAAAAAATTAGTATATAATTATTCTAAAAGTGTTAGAAAGTATAATTTATTATTCCAGTTAAAAAAATTTTTAGATGAGTTTAACTACGGCAGCGAGCATAGTTTTATCACCGGTTTTGCTAGTGGGGCATAATTGGAGCTATTTCGGCTATAACGAATTTTTTTAAAGGTACATAATTATAATTTTAGAAGATGTTCATAAAACATTTAATCACTAGTTGATTAAAAAAGTATACCATTAATATTGCAAATTATATTTCATCCTCTCCTAGTATATGTCTATTTAATTTTTTAATTATGTAATGAGCACTTTGTTTACTCACTTGTTTCGTCGAACTGCTTGAATCCATCTTTGCTATTGATCAAATCAGTAAAAGAAATTATGAAACTATAAAATGTTGTTTCGGGAGAGTTGAATATCCGGGAAAGTTGAGTTATTGAAAGTTATTGCACCCAACAACGCCCTATTTACGCGTTAACATTTTTTTGGGCAATTTTATTAAAATTTGAAATTGTCACAACACAACAAGACGCCTAGTTCGAATTCTTTCAAGGTACATTCAGGCTGAGTGCGTCGCGTCGCATCGCGTCCGCCTTTCGAAATGGAATCAATTATCAATTCACTTAACTTAAATTAGACCGTTCAGGCAGACAGCGTCGCGTTTGGCGTTGCGCTAGCGTCCGCTGAGCGTCGGGGTTCGAGTTCAATGGGGCGGACGCGACGCAAACCCGACGCTCTCAGCCTGAATGTACCTTTACACTTATTTTTTACTACCCGATACAACGTTACATCACACAAACCTCGTGAGTGTTTTATAGTCTCAATAACTGCACTAGCAAAAAACTAAAATAAATATTATGACAAAACCCCGATTTCAATATTATTTTAATACGATCGACATGACGCATGACGGCGCCGGCGGCGTGAACTATATATTGATAATTTCTGACCTCTGCCGTAGAGTGCGCGGCGGTCGGAATTTGTTGAAATCAACTGAAATGCCCCAAGCCTATATTAAACTCTTTAGAATCGCCGGTTGAACTTTGGCTACAAACCCAAGTAACACCCTGTCTAATAAAATTAATATAATTTTTTACAGCATTGACCATGGCAATAAAGATAAACGAAGCAAATATAATTCAAGAAGTTATCGAAAGTATACCGATAAAAGATGGTAAAATATTTTTAAAAAATTCAAATTTGATTTTAAATAATTACATGAAATTTTTCAGTTGAACTGTTGATATCAAACCTTCAGAAAAAATACATTTCCAAACTTTTGGTCATAATTTCTAGCGGTTTGGATAGCTCCAGGCACTTAGAATTCTATCTATATTGGGCCCAACATATTCTAACCGTTCACGGGCCCCAAATAACAGGACAGGAAAATATGCCGGCGTTACTAAGTTTGGAAAAAAGTCTCATGAGGAAATACGAACAAATTTCGAAAATGTAAATTAATACTTGAGTTAAAAAAAAATAGAAATACTTAATAAATTGATATTTTTTTAGATGTGACTTTAACAAGTACACTATTCAGTATATATCAAGCTTGGGAAAAATAATGGCCGAAAAACAAGCAAAAGTTGAAAAAATGGAAACAGACACTGAATCAGAACCAGAGATGATTAAAAGTGATTATGATTAATATTAAGAATAAAGAACTTTTATCTTAAACATTTTTTTTCTTTATTTCCTATACATTATAAACAAAAACAACATACCTACAACCACAACCAAACATTTAAATTTCCAAAGCTGCCAATGCACTGACCATTACATCTGCATCAGCATATTTATTCTTTATTTGTTTTAAACTCCATTCAACTATTTTTGTGGCTTCCTTCTTCTTCTGGGTTGTACTTTTACTCGAAGTTGACAGACTTGAAGCAGTCTACAAAAGAGTTTAGTTAAAAAAGTCACCTCAAAATTGTCATTACAAAAAATTGGGATTTTACCAAATACAAGCCGTAAAGTGCTCTCATATTTTTAGGGTTCATTTTTAGGGCTTGTGAGTAATATGACTTGGCCAATTCCAAGTTTTCTACACCTCCCTGCGTATATTTTATGTCTGCATATCTTTGATGAAGCAAATGATTATGTGGATTGTGCAAGATCAACTCTTCAACACAAAACGCAGCTTTACCAAAGTCATTTTCAGAAATATAAAGTTCACTCAATTCTTGCCAAGCATCTACATCAGCCATGAATCTAGAAAAATAATTTGCAAAAATTCTTAATGTTTAAATCAAATTGATGAGAAATACATTTTTAAATATTCCGTTAGCTCTTTGATGGCATCTACAATCCTGCCTTGAGCCTTAAAAACAGCCACTTTGCGTTTTCTAGCTGCACTGTTTGATTCATCTACTTTAATAATAGCATTTAATATGTCCAGTGCATTATCAAAATCTTCATTAGCTTCAAAATGCATCGCTTCAAGTTTCTTTACCCTCAAACTGTTTGGAAACTCTTTGTATAAGTTTTCTATGCATGTTTTTGCCACGCTTAAGACATGACAGTCCAGGGCAGCTATACAAACTTGTTCCAAGATTAAATACTCTATAGAAAGAAGGTGTTCTATAAGAATATAGTTTAAATTATAATAAACTTACTCTCGTTTCCTAAACTATCGATATTCAGCCAAAGTCTATCCAACCAGATATCCAAAGTTTCCCTGCTTTTTCTTTCATTATTTTCACGCCACTTTCTTAATTGATCAATATCAGCTAAAACAGAACAAACTAAAACAACAATATTCAACAATAATTACTGTAAACCTTTTAAAACGCCCATTTTTTAAGTTTAATTAAAAATTATAATAGTTATCGATTATAAATTATAACCTAAATTAAATTTTGTAAATAATTCATGACAAACTGTCAAACTAGTTGTAATACTCAGTTTAGCCAACTGCTAGGAGAGGTAAAAAGAGAAAGTAAATAATCTATGTAAATAATCATGTTCTTACAAAATTACACTTGTTTGACCTATTTTAATGACGAAAATTTGAATAGAATTAAATAATAAGCTTAAAAATGCAAAAGCACATATAGATTCAATGTTTTTCTCTTCAATAAAAATTCTATGTCAACAAATTTACAGTTAATCGAAAAACAAAAAACCCTACACAGTACTTTCGAGCTGTTGTACGTATTTCATGTACATAACAGCTGAAAGAATTATTTTTATATAAACTTTTAATTGTTATCTTTTTATTTTTGGATTTTATGGTGTTTTAGTTTTAGTTAGGAAGAAATCCTTTTTTAGAAATTTTGTAAGTTCCTTCGATCGCTCAACTGCTATGTCTAAAATAAACTTAGGAGTGCCTTGCTTTATATGATATTGTTGTATTGTTTAGTTGGACTGTGATATAAAAGGTTTCGCGTGAAAAAATGTGGTTTTGTAATGAGTTTGTGTAATGGTAATGACGTTTTAAACCAACTCCCAAATGCAATATTTATTCCTTTTGTATTTCAACATTGATTTTGCTAACAGATCAATACTCCTGTTCACTTGGGGTGTACTGATGAGCCATCTCTTATATTGGTTTAATTTCACAGAAAATACCAGTTTCTGGTCCGTATTTTAATAGGAAAGACCGCAGATTTGTAAGATATTACCACAAGTAAACTAATTTCATATTTAACAACATATTTCTCATTTAATTACTTTGTAGCATAATCATGATAATAAGTATTTAATTATAATTATTTTTTAGTAAAATATGACGTAAATCAACATTTAAAACATTGTTGGAGGCTGAAGCTGTGCCATCCTTTTGGATATATTGTCCAGAGCCGAAAAAGAACCAAAAATGTCGAGTTTAGAAACCATGGATTCTAATGTAATGTGCCCAGTGTGTACACTGTATTTAAGGCCAGGAATCACTTTAAAACAACACTTAACAAGTCATCCTAAGCAAAAAGTTATTGATGCTCTGGTAAAAATTTCTCTTCACGATGAACCGTCTAAAATACCAAGTTCCTCCAATAGTGATGATGTTTCTGAAGGTCAGCATAATGTTTTACCTGTAAATTATGAGAATCGATTAATTCTGTTTGTACTTACAGGTGCTTCAACAATATCTGAAAGTCCCAGTCCACCATCAAACAGTTCCATGCCTCCGTACTTAAATCAGGTACCCTTAGGTCCTCCCTCTTCCCACATGGCACCCCAAATGCCAGGAAACCATTTCTTTATGTACCAACAAAGTATGAGTACCTCTGCCCCTCATCAACCTAACCTTCCCCCACTCACTCTCAATCCTTTTGCTCAACAGTATCTAGTTCCTGCCGTCTACAATCCTCAAATGATGCCATATTTCTACCAGCAGCAGCAACTGATTATGTCCAGCAATGGCATACCCCCTCACATCAAAGCCTTGCCGTTTGAAGGCGATCCTAGCTCCACCTCACAGTCATCCAGTAAATCAATTGAAATCATCAACAAAGATAAATGTGAAGAGGATTTGGTTGAAAAAGTGGTTGAATTGGACCAGGATGGATTGAACAGCCAGGGAGAAAGTATAACTAGTGAGGAGGAGGAGAATGAAAGTGAGGTTAACAGTGAAGAAAACCAACAAGCGACATCTGAATACAAGGAAGAAACAGAACAAGTCGTTATAAACCAAACATCTGATAGTAATTATGAGGAAAATGTGTACCAGGGACCCAGTAGGGAATACGAGAACCATCAAAACATTAATGAAGAAGAGTGTGTTGATACTTCTTTCTCACAGGTATCAAATTCCGAGTGGAACGTCAATTCTGATTTAAATAAAGCGTGCCAAACTCAGACAAATAATGTTTTATCTCCTAGGTAAGTATTTCTAATTTGAATGTAAATATTATAAACAATTTCTAATTTAAATATTATAAACAACTCCTGTTTCCCATATCGTAATGTAAAAAATTTTTGTGATGCACAAAATTTTTTCATACTCCCCAACCCTCAAATGGAATGAAAGTTTCTACTCCTCAATTTTTTCCTGCTCTATTGGACTTTCTAACTGAATGAACATCTATAATATATATAATATATTAGACATAATTTAGTATTTCATGTCTAGAGTCAGATGAAATGAATTTTCCTATAATTTTTCATACTTTATTTTACCTCCCAAATGGAAAAAAAGTTTCTACTGCTCAGTAAAGTCAAAATTTAATATGTCCTTTCTTGGATATAATTTTCATACTCCATTTTACCCTTTAAAGGAGTAAAAGTTACTAGGGCTTTAATAAAGTCATAGTATAATATTTTATTTATGTCTAGACACAAAAGGTAACTAATTTTTATACAATTTTTCATACTCCATTTTACCCTTTAAAGGAGTAAAAGTTACTAGTGCTTAATAAAGTCATAGTATAATATTTTATTTATGTTTAGACACAAAAGGTAACTAATTTTCATACAATTTTTCATACTCCATTTTACCCTTTAAAGGAGTAAAAATTACTAGTGCTTAATAAAGTCATAGTATAAAATTTTATTTATGTCTGGACACAAAGGGTAACTAATTTTCATACAATAATAATTTTTCATACTCCATTTACCCTTTAAAGGAGTAAAAGTTACTAGTGCTTAACAAAGTCATAGTATAATATTTCGTTTGCTGAAATATCCCCTAAATAGCTGAAATTTTATAATGCTGAATGTTACAATTTAATATTTCATGTCCTAGACACAGGTGTAACAAATAATTGTCTTACTCTATTTTAAATTAAATCAGACCAAACAAATCTTATACAAATTAAAAAATAACTAACTGATTTTTTAGACCATCAGTTCATTCTTAACATCAGCAAATCAATGACAATAACTAATTTTCATACAATTTTTAATTCTCCATTTTACCCTTTAAAGCAGTAAACGTTACTAGTGCTTAATAAGTCATAGTATAATATTTCATTTATGTTTAGACACAAAAGGTAACTAATTTTCAGAAAATTTTTCATACTCCATTTTACCCTTTAAAGGAGTAAAAGTTACTAGTGCTTAATAAAGTCATAGTATAATATTTCATTTATGTTTAGACACAAAAGGTAACTAATTTTCATACAATTTTTCGTACTCCTTTCTCCATTTTACCCTTTGAAGGAGTAAAACTTACTAGTGCTTAATAAAGTCATAGTATAATATTTCATTTATGTTTAGACACGAAAGGTAACTAATTTTCATACAGTTTTACGTACTCCATTCTCCATTTTATCCTTTAAAGGAGTAAAAGTTACTAGTGCTTAATAAAGTTATAGTATAATATTTCATTTATGTTTAGACACAAAAGGTAACTAATTTTCAGAGAATTTTTCATACTCCATTTTACCCTTTAAAGGAGTAAAAGTTACTAGTGCTTAATAAAGTCATAGTATAATATTTCATTTATGTTTAGACACAAAAGGTAACTAATTTTCATACAATTTTTCGTACTCCATTCTCCATTTTACCCTTTAAAGGAGTAAAAGTTACTAGTGCTTAATAAAGTCATAGTATAATATTTCATTTATGTTTAGACACGAAAGGTAACTAATTTTCATACAGTTTTACGTACTCCATTCTCCATTTTACCCTTTAAAGGAGTAAAAGTTACTAGTGCTTAATAAAGTTATAGTATAATATTTCATTTATGTTTAGACACAAAAGGTAACTAATTTTCAGAAAATTTTTCATACTCCATTTTACCCTTTAAAGGAGTAAAAGTTACTAGTGCTTAACAAAGTCATAGTATAATATTACATTTATGTTTAGACACAAAAGGTAACTAATTTTCATACAATTTTTCGTACTCAGTTTTTCTCCATTTTACCCTTTAAAGGAGTAAAAGTTACTAGTGCTTAATAAAGTCATAGTATAATATTTCATTTATGTTTAGACACGAAAGGTAACTAATTTTCATACAATTTTACGTACTCCATTCTCCATTTTACCCTTTAAAGGAGTAAAAGTTACTAGTGCTTAATAAAGTTATAGTATAATATTTCATTTATGTTTAGACACAAAAGGTAACTAATTTTCAGAAAATTTTTCATACTCCATTTTACCCTTTAAAGGAGTAAAAGTTACTAGTGCTTAATAAAGTCATAGTATAATATTTCATTTATGTTTAGACACAAAAGGTAACTAATTTTCATACAATTTTTCGTACTCCATTCTCCATTTTACCCTTTAAAGGAGTAAAAGTTACTAGTGCTTAATAAAGTCATAGTATAATATTTCATTTATGTTTAGACACAACAGGTAACTAATTTTCATACAATTTTTCATACTCCATTTTACCCTTTAAAGGAGTAAAATTTACTAGTGCTTAATAAAGTCATAGTATACTATTTCATTTATGTTTAGACACAAAAGGTAACTAATTTTCATACAATAATAATTTTTCATACTCCATTTACCCTTTAAAGGAGTAAAATTTACTAGTGCTTAACAAAGTCATAGTATAATATTTCGTTTGCTGAAATATCCCCTAAATAGCTGAAATTTTATAATGCTGAATGTTACAATTTAATATTTCATGTCCTAGACACAGGTGTAACAAATAATTGTCTTACTCTATTTTAAATTAAATCAGACCAAACAAATCTTATACAAATTAAAAAATAACTAACTGATTTTTTAGACCATCAGTTCATTCTGAACATCAGCAAATCAATGACAACACTCCGGAATATTACTTTATTGACCAAAGAAGTAATGTCTCAGTTGTTCTTAGGTCAGACAACATTGCCTCAACTTTTGAACAAGTAATTTCTCAAAAACATGACTTGACACAAATTAAAATGATTTTTTTTTCAGTCTCAACCCATTTACAATTCTCAAAACATCCTCAACAATAATGAAGGAGATTTCATGAATGACATAGAAGGTATGCAAGTGATTTTAGGCGATTTCCCCAATGCCACACTCATTCCTCAAGATAATTTTGATTCAATGAGGCAACAGAGTAGTCCTCCCATACTGATGACTATAGGCGGAATGAACATGTCGCCAAAGAGCAATAATGATGGCTTCATTCACATTATGGAACCAAAAGGGCCAGAGCCTAGTGAAAATTGTATGGGAAATGTTAATATCAGGTCGGATGAAAAGATGCCGCCTAGAGGTGAACTCTCAGGTAAAATACTTCTTTAAAAAAACCATATGTATTATAAGTTCATGGTATTTAAAGGACAAGAAAGCATGGGAAGTGATTTAACATGGAACCAAATACAACATTATCAAGATCAGGATGATCCAATGTGTTATGAACCAAACTCTTGGGATACTAGGTCAGAGATTAATTCATATGATGAAGAGACTGATACAAAAGGTATGTAAATAAAAATATTTAAAAAAGTTTTTGCTGATTCGCATATAGCAGTATTTTCATTTATGTATTATAAAAAGTTCTTGTATAATGGTTTTCGAAATTTTTTTTTATTTTTTCTCTCTTTATTCAACAACCATCTCTCTACCTGTACCTTAATTCTTCTCATATTTCATTGTGCTATATATTGTGGTATTTATCCTCCACTCGCCATCTCACTGTCTCCCTCCATCTTACAGCTTCTCTCTACTCTCTATACAGAGTGTCCCAATATTCCGTGGATATAGAATTACTACTTATTTTTGTAATCAAAATAAATTCATTGGACATAGTTTACCTGCTACAATTTACAAAAGTGCTTCGTTTGTCCGCTAGAGGGCTACAAACTTCAAAAAAAAATAAACAATTTTTTCCAGATATTTTAAGAACCATTATTCCGATTTGAATACATTTTTGGGTGGCTATTTTTCACTAAGTACTTTACCATTTGACTTTCTCAAAAATCAAGAAAAAGTACGGGAAGGGTGAAAACTCCCCCACCACTAATTAAATTTTAGTATAATTATTTTTCAACTTAACCTATAACCGATTTTTTTTCGTAAAATGGTCCTAGTATTTACAAAATTTTTTGTCTCTTGTAAAAAAAACGCCACCGCGCATAATTTTTGGGGAAAAAATTGTTTTCCCAAAGCTGACTTAAAAAAAACGGTTTTTTTCACATCAAGCTACGGCGGCTCATACAGTTATTATGCTCTAATAATCTAGTTGACGAAAATATGGAATTTTATGTTAGTATCACAAATTTTATTTGTCAACAAGCCTCAAAAAGCTTAAACAAAGAATACATTTTACATTAATTAACATTTGGGTTTATTTTTGAATGATGCCCTCTTACAGTCAAACGAAGCACTTTAGTATAGAAGTAAATTGTGTCCAATGAACTTATTTTGATTCCAAAAATACGTAGTAGTTACGGAATATTGGAACATCCCGCATACTAATATTTTTGTTTACAATAGATGTGTATTCCAATGACCCTGTTAAAGAAGAGGACGTAAAAGAAAACGTTACTAAAGTGAAGAAAGACAAGCCTGTTGCGTTAGAAATGATAAAAATTAAGCCTAAGAAGTTACTAATCAAGCAAAAACGCGCCAAGAAAGAGCCACAGACTAGTTTCAACAATGTGTTCACCAACAAACTTAAAACTGAAAATGCCGAGGCCGATGGGTTCGATAATATAGAAACAGGTACAACACTGATATGTTTGAACTAATTTTTCATTTAATTCTCACCTAACATTGTCTAGGTCCATCTGTAGAAAATTTGAAAGAGTTCAAGACTGAAGAACCGGATATGTGCAAGCAATGTGATAAAATGTTCAAAACCAAAAAAGAATTGAGGGCTCATCATTTGGAATTCCACAAAGTGATGCGTCTGAAGGGATACAAGTGTCGAATATGCCATGAAGACTTTGATATGGAACACAAATTCAACGAGCATTTGAAAATACATCCTCTGGAGTGTCATATCTGTGGAAAATTGTTTTTCAGGTAAGGAAACAATATACAGGACGTTCAAAAATTGTTATTTACATATTAAGGTGTAAGTTTTAACATATTATAATGATTTATTTTTTAGGCGTCAAGGTCTGAAATTGCATATAGCCAGACATGAAGGTGTAAAACCGTACAAATGCGATTTGTGCGATAAGGCCTTTTTGGTGAAACAGAAACTGGAGGAACACAGGAATTGTCATACCGGAAACGCGCCTATCCAGTGTCCCATGTGTCCAGAAAGGTTTAAGAGACACTCGAATTTAGTACAGCACAGAAACAAGCACCATTTTTTTGTAAGTTCTATCACATCAATTATCTCAAATTTATAAATAAAAATTTATCTATCTATCTGTCTATATATTTTTGACTTCTTTTATATTGATAAATAATCATATATATTAACATTATGCAAAACATCAAACCTACTATACTGTGAATCACCCTGTAGAGTGTTTTATCTTTAATTCTTAATGTTTAGAGTAGACATTTGGATTGCGTTTATTTTTAATCATTCTCTTGCTTGATATATTTATTTTTGTATAGAAAAATACCGAATATATTTCTAGATCAAGAAAAAACTGAAGGACTATGTTTGCTTTTGCGGCGAGGTGTTCCACTCGAAGAAAAAATTCGCATGGCACAACGAGAAACACGACCCGAAACCTAAATCCTGTACGCAATGCAGTGAAAAATTCATCCACACAGCGGGCCTCACTAGGCACATGCGCAGGGCCCACAACGCAGAGTACCTGCCCGACGGCAGAGATCCCAATTCGGTACGTCCAACATAACTCCTTTTACATTTATAATAGGCTTTAGTTACTATTCTCGCCTATTTGGAAAACATACAGAAAATAAATCCTTTACAGCCTGTAGACTATTTCTTCCATAATACCACTTTGTATATGAATACCACTAAACTATTTTTTTTTTCTTTAATTGTCTCATTCATATTTACAAATTATTTTTGGCAACAATAACGTCAATTTTCCATTAAAAAATTGAATTTGAAGGTGGCATGTTTTTTATTCTATTTGGGAACGGATTATTTTTTCAACTAATTTAGTATTTTTAAATTTGAACTCCAAAAGGAATTCGTAGATGCTATTGAAAATGAACAATTTGCTTCATTTCAAGGAATTCTTTAAAAAGTTTTTAATAAATATTTTTCTGTAAATAAAATGGGGAAAATTTATTCATTGTTTTTAAAATTTATATGGGATTTTCTAGGTCCAAGTCGACAGATCGTATAACCTTTAGGGTGGGTCAAAAAAATCGACTATTTTTCTTTTTACTTTATACTCTGAAAAAAAGGTTGCTAGACACCTCAAAAAAATTCTCTCCAAGTATGAGCTCTTAATTTTAATAGAAAGTCCTCCGCCTTTCAATACAATTTTTTTGTAAACCTCTCCGTTCGAAAGTTATTAAAGGTTGAAGTTTAATTATTTTAGTGCAGTTTTCTTTTTTCTTATGAACTTTACAACTCGTTAACAAAAAATCGTTATGATACGCGCAACTTATGGTTTTGTAGGAAATTCACTGACTACAAAAATGGTTTCTTATGATAAGTCGACTAAATTATCCGTTTAAAAGATATTCATCGTCAAACTTATTGTATAAATCCACAATATTTTTAACAGCTTTTTATCAATAATTCGAACAATTCCAATTTATTTTATGACTTTTTTTTGTTGTTTTATTTTTTTTTAAATGGTTGTATTTTTCCAAATTCTTACCGACATTTTGATCCTCAGTGAGTATTTTACACTTTGACATTAGATAATACTAATTTCATTCTCGACTTAAGAGTATTTCCGAACAATAGTGTATTGTTTTATTAGGAGTAAAAATTATACTTTTTTTGATGAATTATACTCCTTTGAAGGACCATCGTAAAGCTATTCCGACGTTACAAGGAAGCACAAAAAGTACATTTTTACTCCTAATAGAACTTGCATACTATTTTTTTAAAACATTACAAATCATTTTTAATCAATTTCAAACATTGCAAATAATATAAACAGTAATCAAGCAACAATTTGTACACTCGTTGAATTTGACACTTAATATCAGTTTAATAATATATTTTTGTACTTTTGTACTTAGGCGTAACAGTGCTTTACTTTAATACCTAGGAATGTTAAAATGGGAGTGATTCATACGCTTGATGAGACGTTAGAATAAAATCCTTTTGATCTGAAGCGAGCGACTTTTTTGCGAAATAGGTTTTTAAAGGCCCGGTCTAATCATCTGCCTGCGCTCCTCCTACTTATTCTAAAATGTTAGCGTGATCGACAAAGACGATACTATATCGCGTTTCTTTGATTGATTCGTTTTTGTGCGTCAGTCCATTGGTGTGCTTGCAGTGCGGCCAATGGGGCATTACAGTTTATATTTATAACCAAATATATGTTTTGACAGTTTGCTGGAATTATTATTGATTATTTTATTTTTGTGTTTTAGTATAAATTTGGATATTTTTATCCATGTTAAGGAAATAATTTTATTAACAAACATCATATTCAATACATTATGATGAATAATGCAGCAGAATATTATGAATTTCGTCATTTTAGGAACCCCATGCATATCAACTGGCGAAACCTCATTTTCATTGAAAAGTTTTCAATATTCCTTTTTTAAGTAATTTGTTACTAATAAATATTTTTGTAATATTCATCAATAATAATAAATTTAATATTTCATGCACAAAAACATAAACAACAGATTATATATTGATTATTATATGACTTGAAACACCACGGCACTGGAATCAAGTTTTATGTGACCTTGGAACAGATTAGTTCACATGGTAGCAACCGATGAATCACTCCCAAACATTCGTGGCGTTTGCTATACTTTTATACCTAGGCGTTAAAATGACAAAAATTAATACTTTTAAGACGTTTGAAAAAAAATCCTTTTGATCTGAAGCGAGCGACTTTTTTGCGAAATATATTGGTAACCGATGTGGAAAAATGACAAACGCACCCTAGAATTATTAATGTTATCGATAACGGACAGAGTTATAAAGATTTAGCCATTTAGGATAGGACTTTAATTGGAAATAAGTCTTAGTCATTTGGAAATCCGATTTAAATATTGTTTTGAATTAAAATAAAAAAAAATCTGATTTAAATCCAAAACATCTGATTTTTTTATTTTTTTAAAAAAATCATGATTTTTTCCAACCCTGTTTCAGAGTATAGAGTGAAAAAAATAGTTTATTTTTTTAATCCACCCTAATAACCTTATACAGGGTGGTCCGAACTGTATTCCAGAAACGCCGGCAGCATATTCTGCAGATAAAAATAAGTAAAAAAGTTTGTATAAATGTATGTCCTAAAATGCTTAGTTTCGGAGATACAGGGTGTAGAAGTTTCATTTTTATTTCGATTTTTTTTTCAAATAATTTATGAAGTAACGTCAATATTTGGATGAAAATTGGTGTCTGGGAGAGTTTTTTGGCATGAGAAATTTGATTTTGATGTCAATATGACTCCTACTTGTGCAAGTACCTACATATTTTTTAACTGGTTTGAAGAGTAATAACTTTACATCCGTACCTGTATAAAACTACTGAGTATACTGATATTTACGACGCTTTTTTACGTAAATGAGGTCTCTTGGTAAAAATCGCTACCAGTAATGATTCTCGAGATATTCGGAATCGAAATTATCAATACCTGTCATCATTGACATAAATTAAACATGTTGACTAAATAGTTATTAGACTGAAATCTTAAATTTTAAATGGTTTTGTGCCAAAAGTTCAATAGAAACAGTTTTATCATCATTTTTTCGCAGAAAAAATTATGATAAATATAAAAAAATAAAATTCTAAAATTTATTATTTCTGTCAAATAACTATCAAATTATATTTTGTCAGTAATGACATATATTGACTGTTTTCGTCCTTCGATTTTTTTTTCAAATAATTTATGAAGTAACGTCAATATTTGGATGAAAATTGGTGTCATTTGTGTAAAAAGTCACGGAAATGTATGTTTTTTCGCTCAGTAGTTTTATACAGGTACGGACGAAAAGTTATTACACTTCAAAACAGTTAAAACACATGTAGGTGACGTCCCCTGCAAATAGGAGTCATATTGACATCAAAATCAAATTTCTCATGTCAAGAAACTCCCAGACACCAATTTTTATCTAAATATTGACGGTATTTCAGAAATTATTTGGAAAAAATCGTAATAAAAATGAAACTTTTACACCCTGTATCTCCGAAACTAAGCGTTTTAGGACATACATTTATACGAACTTATTTACTTATTTTTATCTGCATAATATGTTGCCGAAGTTTCCGGAATACAGTTCGGACCACCCTGTCTGTATATTATGTATTATTACTTATTGTTTATTTTTTGCAGCTGAACAGGGTGTGTCCGATCTGCAAAGGGATCTATTTGAAGACTTCGATGGAACCGCACATGCAAACTCACCTAAACCAGAAGGCTTTCTCTTGTACGGTGTGCAACAAAAAGTTCACCACCAAATGGAACCTAAAATTGCACAAGTGGACGCACGCGCCCCGCACGCAAAAACCCTTTAAATGTAATCAGTGCAAGGGTGCGTTCATCAGGGAGACCGATTACATTTCTCACATGAACTCGCACAAGAGCGTCAGACCGTACACGTGCAACCACTGCGGCGCCCAGTTTATCAGGAAGTACAACTGTCAAAGACACGTGAAGGAGCACGAAAACGAAAAGACCTACGTGTGCAACGTGTGCAATAAGTCGTTTCACAGGTCGTACTACTTAAAAGATCATATGAGGGTGCATACGGGTACGAGACCCTACTCGTGTCACATTTGCGGTAAGACGTCCACTACTAAGTCGAATCATAACAAACACATTCAGATACATCATGCCAGAGAACCAGTTAGTACTGAGAATTAAATTATTTTTTTAAGTCGGAGTAGTTCAAATGTTTCACAGATGTATAGGGTGGCACATTTTTTTAACAGTGTAATCCCGACAACTTTTTTATTTTTTTCAGTTAAAGGAACGAGATTTGGTGTGTATATGACAAAAATCAGGATTGATTGACGTATTCAATTTTTTTCATCAGGTTACTTCCTGTTTCATCGGCTAAATTTTTGATTTTTCAATGGCACCCGTGCCCGGTGGCGTAGAGGTACAGCTCTCGTCTACCAATTCAAAGGTTGTGGGTTCGAATCCCACAGCAGGCATTTCATAAGCCGACTATTTTTAATAAAATAAAAATAGTTTGGGTACCTAGGTCGACTCAGCCTTAAATGAGTACTTGTGATTCACAATCCTGAGGTAATAATAGCCGGTTGAAGCGTAATACTAGCCACATTACCTTCCTTGTATACCGAACGGCACTAGTATGGCAAGCTGTACCTTGCTATTCCCAAGGCGTTAAACGCTATATACGGGAGCCATTATTATTAAATGGTACCCCCGGTATTTTTTCATTTTATTTGATAAGCGGCAGTTACACGTATCAAGTAGCTAAAGCAATCTACCAAATCAAGAAGCTAAAATTTACCCCTTCATTTTAGTGACAGTCTACATTTTAATTTTTATTGCTGTTTAGTTGTTGATTTAAACGGGATTTTAAACTGGAGACATAAATATCCTTCGAACCTGCTCCCGATTTCATAAATGCTTTATTTTGTTTTTAATTTCATGAAATCAGGGTTGGCAAATATCGTGATATTTATATAAATATCAAATATCGGATATATATCCGATATACAGGGTGTCTCAGATTTTAATCGGGAAAATGTTCTATCGTCTATTAAGATAGAAATTGCAAAAATAAAACAAAAAGTTCATATCAACTTGTAAGATTTAAAGCTTCCTTTCGAGATACAGGGGATACGATAGACAAAAAAGTCAAGAGACAAAAAAATAATATTTTTAATTACTAAATTCCAAAATAATTTTAAACTTCTAAAAAAGCAGTGACGTGCCTATTTTTTCCTTTAAATAATTTAACAGTGACGTCTCACCGCCGCCCCTGGCCATTAAACTTAAATTTAATTACATCAAATTAAGACCCATAGTAAGTATTATAAACGGGTCAAGTTATATCAAAATCTATTAAATAGTTTTTTAAATTTTTGGTACATTTGAATTGTCCCAGATCCAATCAATATTATCTTTTTTGTTTTTTTCTTTCTGATTGTTGAGTTTTATTTTTTTATAAATATCATGATATATATCAAGGTGTAAATATGATATATATCAATGATATATATCATTGATATATATCATGCCAACCCTGCATGAAATCCGAATCCTTCTATACCCATGATCTCAACTCCCTTATACGCTGTATTCCGGGTTCAGAGTATGTTTATTTTTATAAACGGCAGTCCTTGTTTCCCATAAGCATCGTCTTTCACGATATTTTTCTACAAACTTATTGAGACAAAATTAATTATTAATAATTCAAATAAAATAAACGCTAGTAGTCTTTAATAATGAACTTGGCTAAACTGGCCGGTCTATACTTCTTTAGTCGGCTTTTATTTGCGCTTTAGTTGCTCAAAAACAGAGGTGGGGATGACCACTTGCGCAAGTAAATAGGAATCGTTTCTACTCAGTTTACTAAATCTGTTACTTGCGCAAGTACTAAATCGGGTTGTTTACACCATGCTTGTCACTAAATTTAATAACTTGCTTTAGCTACTTGACGACAGCCATGAGATTCTAGAATGAAATTTAAAATACTATTTAAGCTAAAATGTCAAAAGTTGACACGTGAGATGTTAATTCAGACTGTCATTTTCTATTGAATAAAGTAAAAAATACCGAGGGTACCATTTAAAAATCAAAAGTTGTAGTTATTTCCAGTGAAACAGAAAGTGACCACAAATAATTTAATATGTAAATTAATCCTGATTCATGTCACATACTAACATACCAAATCTCGTTTATTTATCTGAAAAAATCAAACAAATTATAGGCACTTGAAAAATACCCGGGAAGGAGGGAAAAATTATAATTTTACATTTTGAATGTTGTTATGTATGGAAATGAAAAAATAATGAAACATGACAAATGGAATTGTCACAAATAAACGGAGGCATGGGAATACAATAAATTTAAAAAATTTTCTGACCAATCAGAGTCTTTAAATTCAACCAATCAAATTAATATCGTATAATCGGATATCGGAGGAATGAAAATGCACCTTAAGTCTTTTTATTTATTGGGTAGTTCAAATATCTTATATTACCACTTTGACAAAAATAAACGGTTTTTACCTGAAAACAATCCAAAAAAGGCAGGGATAATAGATTTTTTTAATAAGAAAATTATTTTAACTTTTTTATATTTTTTAAACTTTTTAAAATATTTTTTAATTTTTGACAAATGTGTTTTATTAGGCCGTTTGCCTTGTATGTACAGGGTGGTCCGAATTGTACTCAGGAAATTTCGACAGCATATTTTGCATATAAAAATAACTAAAAAAGTTTGTATAAATTTGTGTAGAAATTTCATTTTTATTTCGATTTTTTCCAAATAACTTCTGAAGTAAGGTCGATATTTGGATGAAAATTAGTGTTTTCTGACATAAGAAATTTGATTTCGACGTTAATATGACTCCTAGTTGTAGGAAGGGCCACCTAACTGTTCGTCCGTACCTGTATTATACTGAGTAAAAAATATACATTTCCGCCGTTTTTTACGTAAAAAAGTTCTGTTCGTAAAATGCGCTACGAGGGATAGTTCTCAGGATATTTGGAAACGAAATAATCAATACGTGTGTCAATATTGACAAAAATTAAACAAGTTTACTAGACAGATTATTAGATTACAGTTGAGGGTTGGAACCTTTGGTGTTACACAGCAAAATAAAATTACACTAAATCACCACAATACACCAAAACACTTTTACTTTTACACTGGACGCGCGTTTCGCTAACCATGTTAGCATCATCAGCAGATAATTATAAACTGATTTATAATCATTATAAACTGATTTATAATCATTATAAACTGATTTATAATCATTATAAACTGATTTATAATCATCTGCTGATGATGCTAACATGGTTAGCGAAACGCGCGTCCAGTGTAAAAGTAAAAGGGGTTTGGTGTATTGTGGTGATTTAGATTATTAGATTCAAATCATAAATCTGTATATTTTTTGTGTCAGATTCAACAGAAACTGTGAAAGGTTCATTTCAGTCATTGATGACATGTATCGATAATTTCCATTCCAAGTATCTGGTGAACCATTTTTACCAAGAAACCTTTTTTACGCAAAAAAAACGGCGAAAATGTATATTTTTTCATTCAGTAGTTTAATACAGGTACGGGGAAAAGTTATTACTCTTCAAAACAGTTCAAAAACATGTAGGTGGTGCCCCCTACAAGTAGGAGTCATACTGACATCAAAATGAAATTTCTCATGTCGAAAAACGCCAAACCTGACACCAATTTTCATCCAAAAATCGGCATTAACAGTTCCTAAAGTTAATTTTATTAGGTTAGCAACTTGCGGCCATGCTGACGCAATGCCGTCTCTAATAGAACAGCCTCGGAGCGAGATTTATGACGTCACGCTAGTTAAATACAACGGATTAATAAATATGTTGTAGAATACATGGAAAACATAATAATTCCTCGTATTTTTGGTTTGTATTTTAAAAATGATATAGTTTACATGAAATATACATAATATACAGTTAATAAATACAATATATATAAAAGAAAAGAAAGTCGATCTAATTTAACAAACAACATTCAATGTCTACTACTTACTATGACTGAAATCGTACTCCATAGTCAGTGTAGATAGTTTTAGTGTTAAGAATAATAATTTTAAAAAATACGTGGTCATCTTTTGACAAGTTTATATTAGTTTATTAATTGCAGTAAACATTATGTGGTGTGAATATTTTATATGTAATTTTTTGGATTATATTCGACATTATTTTTTTCATATGACAACACTGATAAAGGCTATGATGTTTTTTTTAAACCACGTTTTTTTTAAACCAAAAAAATAATGAAAAAACAAATGAAAACTTAATCAGCGTTTTTCCCGAACCTAAATCTCATGAAAATCAAAAATTTTAGAATAATTTTACATATAAAATGACAGCGATCTTTATTTCATAGCCACCGCTGACGTCTTTTTTTCTATGATATTGTATTATTTGCAAATATAATATTTCGAACATTGATACTTGCAAAATATACATATACATTTTGGGAATGCAAATAATAATACATCACTATTAGTAGATATTGAATGTTTTTTTGTTAAATTAGATCGATTTTCAAACCACAAAATTTAAAATATATTTTACATTTTACCCATTATCTTATGTACCTATTCATTATTTGTATATTGTAAAACATTTGCTGCAATTGTATGGTTCATAGTTAATTTGCCAAAGTCTTTATTACTATAAATAGGTATATATATATATATATATATATATATATATATTGTATTAATTAACTGTATATTATGTATATTTCATGTAAACTGTATCATTTTTAAAATACAAACCAAAAATACGAGGAATTATTATGTTTTCCATGTATTCTACAACATATTTATTAATCCGTAGTATTTCACTAGCGTGACGTCATAAATCTCGCTCTCAGGCTGTTCTTTTAGAGACGGCATTGGTCTGATATTTAGAAATGTCAAAAGCTGATGACTTTTACTTTTGACAATTGTGTTGATTTTTGCAAGAAGAGGAAGAACTGTCTCTTGTTTTATTATTTTCCTTTTCTATTTCACGAAAGTAAAAAGAGTTACCTATCTGATTCGTTCAAGCACTCAATTTAAAGAATATGAGTAACTTTTTTGATAGAAGGATTTTATATTTGCCCTGTTGGTAAACAATAACGGTCAAAATTCAAAGTTATTCATTTTATAGACTATAGCAACGTTTTCGAGAAAGTATTTTAAGACGTCTGGCTCTTTGATATATCATTTACTATGCTCTCTGGAACAGCATGCGTTCCAGAGAGAGGATACCCGTTGCGTTCACTACTGCGCATCGGAAGAAGATCCTATATTTTTTATTAATTTAGTCCTATAAATTCTAGTATTGAATATA